CTGAACCTAAAAAACGATGTTCACGAGTAAGAGACTACTTCCTGTTCCCCCACTCATGCTAAATGAAACTAACATCCCTGAAGGCTCCAACTTCGTGTTCCTAGGTAGGAGAATTACATGATGAATGCCCAGCTCCAGCACTGAGCAGGAGAAAGCGATTGGCATTAGGTGCATCCAAGAACACAGAGGGAGTAGTGAAGAAAAGATTATTTGGCTATGCCTAAACCCCGATGCCACAGCTTTCCTGCCTTAAAAGCGAAGATTACGATGGAAAGAAAGCTGAGGGTAGAGCTGGGCAGTGATGCAGAGATGAAGAAAGAAATAAAAATAAACCTCTCACAGGAAGGTCTTTCAGGGTGTGCCAAGCTTTTTCAAAACGGTCTTTTGCATGATATAGGGGCACATGCGGGAACCACAGAACCATGGTTAATTTTTCCTGAACGGCCCTCTGAATACCAGAAAAGGGGGTCCCTAGTCACACCTTTTTCACCAGTTTTTCAATCAAAGTCTATTTGTAAGGGTTACTGACGTTCCTAATCATGAATTTGGTACTAATTATTCATGCTAACTCCATTTTGCGCGAATTTGGAAACGTCAACACGAAATGCAAAAATTTGTCACCACGAGGAATCGAACTAGGGACCCCTTTTCTGGTATTCAGAGAGCCGTTCAGGAAAAACCATGCTTCTGTGGTCCCCATATGTGCCCCAATGTCATGCAAGAAACCATTTTGAAAAAGCTTGGCACACCCTGAACGACCTTCCCTGGTCTGTGCACTAGAAAAGGGCACCTTTTTAGCCCGTTCGTTCCATGTTGAGCGGATCTTGTCGGTTTCGACCTCACCAACGCTAACGCTCTCTTTGCTAGAGCAGCTAGAGCCAGACCACGAGGCGATGGGCAGGCAGCGACGCGAGCGGCGCAGGTGTTGCCCCTAGGGCGCTGGAAGAATAACGTTTGCTACAGAACTCGCGTGTTCCGGACCCTTAGGAGGCCTGCTTGCTTTTGCTCTGGGTATATGTACTTTACCTTCGTCGACCTCCGACCTCATGATGGAATCTTCGTTCAACATATGCCACTGAGACTTGAACTCCTCTGCAACGCAAGACGAGCATGCGAGTTGGGATCGTAGCTACGCTCGCGATTCTCCTGTACAGCAACTCCAGAAGAAGATTAGGGACTCCGAACCACGCTAGTGATCGAATACCAGGGATGCTGCCGTTTTCGTCAAGGAATCGAAGATTCTTTGGCGAAAATGGCAACATCAGGGTAGATCAGGGCGAAATGTGCATACGAAATTCCTGGAGCCTTAGATTATTATGATTCATATGGCACTTACCGGCGAAGCGATTTGCACTACCATGATCATCAATCCATGGCTTCAATTCAGTGCCTCGCTCGATGCATTGCCACCCTCAGTTCGACTTCCTCAGAAACGAAGTTGTGTAACAGAACAGAATAAAACTGTCGGAGAGCTCGTCACGTACTGTTCATAGCTCATGTTTGGCTGCCCTTCAGAGCCTCTCCGCGCCGCAGACGTGGCTATCTATTTAGGAACCTCGAAAACAACGGCTGAGCAACTTCAGAGGCATGACGATGAACATGACAAATATGGCAAAACGGTGTAATGCCCTCTAGGGGAAGAATATGTACTAAGGAATCCCATGTTTGCTCGTCCTTTCGGAATTCCCGCGAGTTTTGTCATCGAGTTTGTCAATCTTCATCAAAAGAAGCGAATTGTATGAGAAGAGGCTCTGCTTTCTGTTAACCACCACTGAATCACCCTGTTCCTCGTGCTTTTTTCAAATTGCAAAAGTTAGGAATGCCTGCTGGTAGAGCTTAAGCTTACCAGAGGAAGGGACCTCTCGACATATTCTACCAATGGTTCGCACAACGCAACCAAGGTTATAAATAATAAAAGGTAAATGGGGATGAGGAGCTTGAGGATTCAGAAAAAATGTAGTTACAGTCCGTTACGGTGAAATTCTCTCAATTTTTTTTACGAAACCCTCATATTGAAATAGCATGTCCTTGGATATTGTTTTAACAGGCTAATGTGGCCTTCCCATTAAGGTTGGATGCTTTATAAATGAGCCCTTCGTCACTTGTAAGTCGAATTCAGCTTCGATTGATTTGGCACCGTCACTCACTAAAAATGCATTCGTACATCCTTTTTCTGGTATGTTTCACTATAGTTTAAAGTAAAACGCTAATCACGAGAGTGATTTGTCACTAACACCTGTTAAAGTTCATATGCTTTTAAACTCATGATGATAAGAAAAAAAGGTCGCTGAATGGTAATTTGGGAAGTCGTAAGTAAGAATGAGCATGCTAACCTAATTACTCGCTGAGAACTCACCTGACTGTGTTCTTCAGATTTCCTCCGTCCTTTTGCTCTCCAATGGACATGCTGAAGGTCTGCTTTACAGAATTCTTCACAATTTGACTTCATATGTTTAGTTCCCGTTCTCAGGTTATAATTGTAAGGAAAACGTTCCCGAAAAAATTCAAGTATTTCTGGCAAATGCCATAAATTCAAAGCGTAAGGAATACAACAGCGGGACAGTAAAGTTACTATTGGGAAGAAGTCGTAAGTCGTTTTTGTGGCTTCAGCAGAGCTCCACTGTTCTAGTTCGTAAGCAATAACCTAGAGAAAAGAATTAAGAAAATTTTCATATATTTAGCACATTTTTAGGAATCTGAGTAAATTTCTACCATTAGTAGTCACATGTGCAGTGGTGCACAAAACTACTCGAGCACACATTTTTTAGGCCGCACCTTTTTTCTGCTTAATTAAATTAGTCCAGATTGCAATATGTTCTGAATGCAAGCCTTATCCACCGGGTAAGCGTTCTCATGTTGGATAGCAGAGAGTGGGACCGACGAAAAAATTATCTCGTTGGGAATTGCGGGAACACCTTGGGAGTAAAAACGTATCAGCTAACCGGCTCAACACGTTAGACGTGGACGCCTGGGGCGAAGTTTTGTTCACAACCCAGCATCCTTGTGAAGAATTTCAAACTATTTTAGGAAGGCTTCAGTCCAGCGCAACGGTCATCTGCATAATAAGTAACATCACGCAGATTTAAGAGGTTGTTGTACCCTTCGTAATAAATTCGTTAAATCGTAGTAACGCAAGGCGTGGTGTAACACGCCTATTTGGGCAACGCGATACCTCGGGCAATTGTTGTGGCGTACTGAGTACCTTGGAATACAAGTTTTCACGACGAATAGGCGCCAATGGCTAAGTCGGGGGTCGGTACGACACGAAAGACATCACTCGGGTTGACGTCGCTTCTAGATGGCGTAGGAGCCTTGCAGGAATCTCTAACTTAGAAGAAAACAGGGTTACAAGTGAGTTTGGGGAGGGACCACGCGGGGTCGCGGTGTTCAAAGCGGAGGCAAAACCTGAGCCTAGGAGGCTCAAATGTGGCAGAAGACACTCACAAATCATAACATTCACAGCTTACCTACTCCTTCATAGGCTGAAGCTTAGTTATTCCCATCGCGCTCAAAAACGGCGCGCCGCGTGGTCTCTTCAACGCACTTAGCACCAAAAACAGCCAGAAACATAGAAGAGAGACAAACAAAAGGAGAAGACTTTGAAGGAAAGGGAAGGAAGTCTTCTCATACGCAGAGTATTCATCAACAGATTTCGTACTTAAGCCCTCGGAAGATTACCAGCAAATTACTAGTTTTGATTAATTTTGCAAGAATACTAGGCTAAAAGCACAACTCTTAAGGTTGAACCCGCAGTGCTCGCTTACCGGGCAATGCACTTCATGTTGTATTTTAGCCGCAGTTCGTCTTGCAAGGCTTTTACAAGGCGAGAAACAGCAATCAACAAGTACTGCTCGGTGTATTGCATGTTGACTTTGTGGTCGTTGTAAGCATTTTACAATAAATTGAAATTCACCACGAATTTGGTCGTGCTCAGGAAGCTTCAGTGGAGCATTTTATTTGTCCTCTGCATATCTTTTCCCTTCATTCAACGCAGTTATGCTGATTCAGCGAAAAAGGCTTTTTTGGGACATATTGTAAAATTCAAATGCATTCATCTAGCAGAAAAAAGTTATGGTCCAAAGCATTTTGTATAAACATACATACTTTTGAGCGCCACTTTATGTGCTCGCTACCCTGACTTCACTTGATGTATATTACAAAACAAATATAGAGTGGGCATCGGAGCACCGTTAGTCTACCCTAGGAGCTAAATTAAACTTCTAACCTTTTCCGAAGCCTCAGTGGATGAGCTGCGCCCGTGGTTGTGGCAGAGCCCCATGTGAAACGTAATCAGCAAACGAGAAACAACAAAAATCCATCACATCAAATGTGTAGAGAATTTTTTCCTTTTTTCAGGAGTTTGACTGCTCTCTTGCAGGAGAAGCCTTCACACATGAATACCAAAGCAAAGTACATGACGGCTTCCATTCGATAGTCGAAAGGTATCTTTTTAATATTCCTACCTACGAAATTCTAAATTACGAAAGGCTGGGAAATCTGTTTATCTTTGCCCTCGCTATAGTTTGGGATTCCAGAAATCTCGAAGAAGCTATCACAG